TTAGAAGAGAGTAGACGTTATGTTAAGTTAGGTCAGGCTACGTTATAGATGAATAGGTAGACAGGCAGACAGACAATAGATCGACAGAGCGATACATGGATAGATACATCGGTCGGCAGTTAGGTGGTAGGCAGATAGATAGGCCTGTACCCAGCCAGAAAGATAGTTAGATAGTTTGAAAGAAAGAGATATAGATAGACAAATCGAACATCGGTAGGCAGGTAGATAATCAGATCCTCGTACATACTAGGGGCCTTAATAATTAGAATAGGGCATTAGGGCCCATTACACTATACTTATGAAAGTAGTTGCTATTGTTTAGGCCCCTACATCATTCCTCACTCAGAGGCCACATCGTCTTGGCCCGCCTGGCCCGACGCCGACTTGAATCGCTCCTCGGATCCTCAGCAGAATGTCGAGAACTCTTCTTGTAAATGGGAGCTTCAGGAAATGAGAAAAACTACAGCCGAGTATACACCCTACAGGTAGCAGGACCCTTTCTAAATTTAAGTGGCAACGTCGTTATTAAACAGGCACAGCAGCAGCAGCAACGACGACGACAAGTAGTCTAACCAGAGCCCGAACGAGAATGATCATAAACAACCATGAACCAGCCACAGCCAGGACAAATCACGGGGGACAAAGGCTGAGCACCCGCCGACCTTTAGACTTAACAAACTCAGATTTGTTGCTTCTCCATCGTGCTCTGACTGCCAGTCTGTTGGACCAACCAGACCAGCTGCACATAGCAGCACCCGAGTCACAAGCACCTCTTCTGCAGCCAGAAACACGAACACTCACTTCAACAGCGGTGCAAATCAGGATTGGTGCTGCGCTGGTCTTGGTACATATATAACTCATCAACGTTCTGGATCCCCAGCGGCCTTACAACCAGTTCTGAGACTCTGACCAACAATGAGTGGAGCGAAAAGACTGAGCCGCAAAAGAAACAGCAACAGTGAAGTCTAAAACCTGTCAACCTTGTTTGCACCCGGCCTGCAGCGACTCTGAACCTCTGAATCCTGAAACTTCAGCCGAAACCTACACCTTACCCGTCAGGCACAAAATAGTGCGAAACCCTTGTTATAGTGTAAATTATATTCTTTAAGCCCAAAAGAATCAGAGTATGATTCCATTGGCTCTGAGCCGTCCAAGTCTCCCCCGCTCTCACCAAGTCGAGCGCCTGCGCTCTGCGGCCTTCGGGCAGAAAGATTTCGGAGCTACAGGTAATGCAGGGGCAAGGGTTCTTAGGAAGGGGTCTATAAGGCTTACTGGAAGGGCTACTATAAGGGTTTAGTATAGGGGCCTTAATGATTAGACTAGGATTTTGTGGAATATTATATCATAATCATGATAAGGAACCCCCAAAAGTAGTACTGGCAATTATCGAAGCCCCTGCAGTAATAGCGATTTAATAGCGCGAATAGGTGCTACTATGAGGCTTACACTACAATGGTCATAATAGCGCCTACTGTCACTGCTATATTGTACTGCTTACTGTAGCTATGCGGGCTTGCAGTGACTTTGATAATGAGGTTTCGACAGTCGGGGCTTCGCAGCCTGAGGTTCCTGCGCTCTGCGACAAAGGGTCAAGCGCAACAAGTCTTGGCTTGGAATCGCAGGAGTCGGAATTACACGCTTGCAACAAGTACTTGCATAAACATCGCAGCGCATGATTTTTTCACCATCGGCCTTCGACAAATGCAGGCAGAGCGCTGGGGTTTCAGATTACAAGAGTGTTCATGAGTTGAAACCTGGTGTGAGAGCAGCCCACAAGGACATCTCGGCAGCTTCAGCACCGAGACGCGCAGGGGCCGCCCACAGCACCCCGGTCTGTCTGCATACGCAGTGCTGCAGCTTGTCCCTTCAATAACAAAAATATAAGGTTCAAGAAACGGAAGTACAAGTGATGAAGAGAAGGCATCCACAAGCTGCATGCATGATGCCCTGGGTGACATCTGTGGGCCCAGGGGCTGTTGGTCGGGCCGCAAGGCGCCGTGCGCATTTGAGATGATCATGTCCTACAAGGTGCTGACTCCCATTAATCATTAGGTCTACCTGAAGTAGAGCCTTTGAGTTGCTTTTTGTGCGCATCGTCGAACTCACGTCTGTCAGGATCCAGCGCATCAAAATGCGAGCGCTGCCGCAGCCCGAACACACAAAGTCGGACAAAGAAAGTCGAGAAATAGATAGACCGGGCAGTCTCGGGGTCCTTCGTGCTGACGTTGTTGGGTGATGTCAGGCCGTTGGAGATGAAACTTGCAGACGAAGCTTTTCATAAATATTCCTAACTTCTCAAGACGGCCCGGCTTCACTACATAAGCCAAGATTCTGGCTGCATGAGCCATTAGAGGCAGGAGATCGCGCACAAACCAGCTGCTAATGAAATGTGCGCACCTCTTTTGAACGACTTACTGTACCGTACCTTTTTGATCATTAGCACACCCTGACAAAGCCTCGAAGCTCTGCCACCGCGGCTGGCCTGCCACCGACCTCACCACCACCTGCGAAAATCGAAAGCAACGGGCCGCCTCGCAGCCCTCTGATGTCAGGGGCTCCGAGGAACCCGATGCGCTCAGACTCAAAATTGCTTCTCCGTGACACCGGCGGACATGATGCCCGTAGACGACAGGCCGCCACTGATGATGTTGCCCATCTCGTCGACAATCTCGGAGCCACTCCACTTCTGATGAGTGAGCGTCTCCACCTTGTGCTTGCGCTCCTCACGCTGGATCATCTGCACATAGGCTGCGGCTCCCCGCTTGGAATACTCCTTGGCGAACATATCGATGTTCAAGGCATCGCAGTGGAAGCCGGCCAAGGTAATGAATTGCCAGCAGAAGCCCAACTTTGCAAGGTCCCAGATGAAAGACTCCATCTGTGCATCGGTCATGCCGGCAGTGTCCCAGTTGAAGGAGGGGCTAAGGTTGTAGGCCAGCATCTGGTGGGGAACTGCAGCACGGACCTCTGTGGCAAACTGGGTGGCCTGTGCGAGGATGGGCTTGCCGGTCTCCATCCTGGGCTCTTTGAGTTGTCATAATAAGGATCTATAGTATGCAATATGGTATCCTGCTTTTGGTACCTTAAATTAAACTCCTTAACAAGAACCCAGCATCCAGATGCAGTCCGCATAGGGTGCGAAAGCAATGGCACGCTCGATGCAGAACTCTGTGGAGCCCGAGATGCGGTAGTAGCCCTCAACCGAGCGCGCAGCGTCCCAGTCGAAGAAAACATCGCAACCCAGCTCCGCAGCCTTCTTCTGCATCTGATCCAAAGACATCTTCCGGGACTCCTTCTCCCACTGGCTGCTGTCCTTGCCCTTGGCCTTCAAGGCTTTGCTGACAGCTTGTGGGAAAGTCATGCAGCCGGCGCGCTGCTCCCAGTCCTTGTCGGTGCCCTTCCGCATGGCCTCGTAGAGTGGCTCCACTCCCTTCACGGTGACACCCTTGATGAAAGGGTGATCGATGGGGTCGATGTTGGAGTCGATCATCGTGGCGGCCTCGGCATCTGTTCGGGCAACAATGACCAGCGGCGAATTCAGCACATCCGACTGCAAGCGGATGGCAATGAGGCGCTGGATGTGCTCCTGCGTTGAAACCAGGACCTTACCGCCCATGTGACCGCACTTCTTCGTGCCGGGCTTCTGGTCTTCGATGTGGATGCCAGCAGCACCGTTCTCAATGAACATCTTTGCCAACTTCATGGTAGCGGTGAGGCCACCGTGGCCGGTGTCTGCATCCGCAATGATTGGGTTGAGGTAGTCCACAACGGGGGTCTTGCTTCGCTCCTCTGGTGACATGCGCATTCGCTCCTCTAACTGCTTTCGGTCATGGAAAAGCTGTGCGCGGAAAAGTTGGTCCACCTGGCCGGCACCGTGTCACAGGGCTAACCCTTAAAGCCAGCACCCGAAACCCAAAACCCCCAAAACTCCTGAACCCTGGCCACCTTGTTTGGCACCGTGTCATAGGGGTAGTCGGCAACATCTGGGCCTGGCTCGTTGCTGGTGGAGGCGGTGGACGAGCACTGCCAGCCGCTGACGTAGACGGAGGTCAGATACTTCGCCATCTGAGTCACCTGCTGGGCTCCGAAGTAACCCAGGAGAAGCAGGCTCGATCTATCAAACATAATGGTGCATGTCAGGAAACAAAAGTGTTCCTAACCAACTACTTCGCTAGGTTCATGTTTTGCAGTTCATATCCCGGCCTGAACGGTGTCCAGGGCTCCAAAAGTGTGGGAGCAAGTTCCTTTGGCCTGATGGTCTCGAAGCATAGAGTAGAGCTTCTCCGACAGCTTCGCGCCCGTGAAGTGAAGAGGGAGTGTTCCTTGGAGCTTCACCACATCCTCAACCTTGTAGGGGCGCGTGGTGTGCTTGAAACGGTCCGTGGCCATCCAGGCCTTCATCTCCGCACAGCGCTGGTCAAAGGCATCCTCGGGCGCGGCCACGGAAGAAATCTCCAGGCCGCCACTGACGGCCGGGGATCCTGCAAGGACCTGGCGCTGGATGGCGGCAACACGGTGCGACATGGCGACTGAAGGAGAAAGCTAGCACAGAAGCAAGGAGAAGCTTGGAATTTTCTGCATGAGCCGACAAAATCGCGGGACGGTTTCCTAGCACTTGACACGTGGCACTGCCCTCTCCCCTTAAATTGGCCTGGCACTTGCATCGATACAGCAACAAAGGGCCAGGACAACTCCGCATGGCTATTGCTCTGAATTCGGTGAGGCAGCTTCGGAGATGCAGCACTGCCGAAGTACAACAGCGCTAAGAGCATGAAGGAGCGAAAGGGACTGTGGCAAAAACCTGTTCCGGTGAGCCCTGAATTCTCATCAAGATATACTGCCAAATGCCCCTGTCTCGCGGCCTGCGCCGGGGTGTCGTCTTCGGCGTCCCCGGCTCAAACTGTGCGTTGATAACGGAGCTCCTTCAATCTTGCTGTGCCATACTACAAGTCACTAGTGGATACAACGAGTCGCACCTCTCTGCCACGATAAAGACAGCATCAAGAGCACGAAGCTGTAATTAGAATTATAAGACATGCATGCTTATGCACGTCTTGATTGAGGCTCTTGGACACCGAGATGCTACTGCTGAACAGCAGGAGGCTCCTCGGCGGTGAGGGCGTGCGACAGCGTTGCGCCCAGCTGTCCTGTCTGTCTCCAAGATGGCTCTGAGGTGTTTACAGTTGATTACCAGCATTTCTGAACGGCATGGTCGAACATTCAATCCCCCTAAAGATCTCTAAAGGATTCAACCACTCACGCAGTAGAACTCCTGCCAACATGCCTTATCGGCCAAAAGGTGGGCGACCCTCGTTGCGGCCTCCTCTGTGACAACCGGCTCGCGACAGCCGAGGCATCGAACAGATGCTGCGAACTGGGATCCGAGGACACGCCTTGGAATCGCCCAAAAAGCTCATGTGGCAGGTGCTCTGATTTGAAAGTTCAGCAGCACGGAGTATCAACTGGGCTCTGAATAGTTGCGTGGAACCACTTCGCCGAACTTTGCTCCTCAATGCGCGGAAGCTTCTGCTCGAATCCACGGCTTGGGTAGAAGCCCTTCCGCCATTCCAGGCTTGGCGAGTGGAAACTGCCAATTTATGTTAGGTCGGTCGAAGAATCACACAATTCAACAGAGCGTCTGCTCTGCATCCTCTGGCATAGACAGCTCCAACTGAATGTCTAGAGCCCTGAGGCTTCATGGTCTTGACTGCTGTATGCAATCACAAAGCAAAAAGCCAAAACCAAAACCTTAGGAATCTAAGGATTCATATGTTAAGCGTTTTGGGCCCAAAGACCATACTACATGGGGCTTCTCTGCTATTTTGATGCCCAGGGAAAGAGAGCTGAGCTCCGAGCTGGGCGTTGGCGTTCAACTCCTCCATGCGCCGCTGGAGGTCATCGAAAACCTCCACCTCCGCGCAGGCCATGTGCCTATCAATTATATACTATGTACTATATATATATATATATATACCCTATATACTTAGGCCTTAAAGAGGTTCGTATATAGGCACTTTAAGGCCTCGGGTTATGGGGTGTCGGGTTCACGAGACGAGGCAGACACCAACCGTCATCCTTGTCGGCGACTCGTTCGACGAGGCTACATGTTTTAAATTCTGAATGTTCTATCTAGCAAGGCCTTTGGCTTCCCCGCCTACTCGGTGCCTGAACAGATCCAAACCAGAACCATGGAAGGCCACGAAGTGAGGGCTTAGGGTTCAGGGTTGTGGGAAAGACTTCCGACTCCGGCGGCCTTGTCGTCCAAGATGCGACCCAAGCGGGTGATCTTGTTGACGTCATCCTCACATCGTCCCTGCCGACTCCTGCATGGCCATGTATTACGGGTACAGTGACCACTGGTGACGCAGTGGTACGTTTTTGCACGCAACAACCCCTTTACACCCCATCAACCCTAAATGAAGCCGTGCACAGGAAACAAGGCTGTCCTCTGCACCCTCTTCTATCTGCTAACCACACTGCCACAGCCCCACAGCCTCTGCATCCCTCTGCCCCCTCCGGTCCCCAATGCCACCAGCTCTTCGCCCATGTCGCGGACCTTCCGGATGTACATGTGCGGTTTAGTGTTCAGGTTTGCGGGGCTTAAAACTTCAGGGGCGTTTGCGTTTCAAGGTTCAGGGCGTTGCCGGCTTTGGGTTTGAAGATTTGGGCGCTCAACACAGTTCTGTCGGAGTAAGGGGCTGCCCGTTCAACCTGCAACCCCAATCGCTCAAAAGCTGGGGTGATCAACCGTATATTGAACCCTTATGGCAACCCTAAACCGGCCCTAAACCCTTTATTGAACCCTTATAGCAACCCTAAGCCCCTTTTTTGCATCAGGACTTGCGCGTCGCCTGAACACTGACTTCCACAATGCAAACCCCTTAACCAGGAAACCCCTGTATCGGAAACACAGCCGGATCGGGGATGCTTTTTCAGAGAAACACAAGAGCAACTACTTTTGATGCTGCGCTGACCCCAGACGACAGCCCTCTGAAAAGAAGCCACTCTAAACCCTCCAAAAACTGAGCCCCCTAAAAAACAAAAGCCACCCTAAGCAATTACTCAGCCACGAACCAAACAAGCGGCCCTTAAACCCCCGAATAGAAGCCAGAATAATTACCAATAGTTACACAGCTATTCCGTAGTATACCCGAAACACTGTTTCGGATCATGTAGGATGCAACGTAATTCACAATGGCCGGCCTGGGCTGGCATCGGTAGGAGATCCTCCAGGACGGGACGTGCCCAAAGGGCAAAGTTGCCGTGGTCTCCTGGGAGCTCACAGGGGTCGGCCTGGGGCTTGGAGTTACCCATGCGACTTACTAAATGTGATGCATAGGGTTGAAGAACCGTACCGTACCAGAGTGCTATACGGGCACATGACTTGTGGATTTAAGGCGCAGCACTTGGGATTTTAGGGTTCCGCTTTCGGAAGTTTGGAGGTTGAAGCTCTTTGATCGATCGTTGACGGTGGAAATCTTGACTTAAACTGTTGCGTTGAGGATCAGGGTTTGAGGAGGTTTGAGGCGCGAAGTCCTTTGATTTCGTAGGATGTTGTGCTGAGCATCTAATGTCCAAGGCTGCGGAGTGTAGGGGCGTGGGGCTGCAGAGTGTGGAGTCTTATTATGGAGATTTGGGTTTTTGGGGCTGTGGGCCTCGGAGTGGTTAGGTTTAGGGTTCGAGCCACACATGAAGGGGCACCAAGTGGTAGAGTCCTTGTTCTACAGTCCCGCAAGAATCGCAGGAAGTAGTCCAAACATACGAACGCTGAGCTGCAAGGCATGCCGACTTTCCACTCACCAATACGCAAACACTGAGCATCATGAGGCTCTCACACTCTCAAAGTGAGGTCGCCACCGGGCAAAACCCGAATACAGCACGTACAAACTTGTAGTGGCTCAGCTTCTGCATATACGTTGCGGACCGTGCAGTGCCTGCTTCTGATGACTTCAATTCAACTTCCACCACCAGCATCATCACAAGTACCGGTATCATCATCACACTCACTGTCATCGTCATGAAGTCCTGTTCTTTGACACCCAACCCACTACTAGTGTCGTGACGACACATGTAGTCATGCGTGAGCATCACCAGCCTTTCAACCGCCTCTACCGTCGACAACTTCAGGGAAGCACATTTTCAGTTGTGCATGATGTCTCTGGTTGGTCAAGCATTGAATTACGCATGCGATATGGACCCAAAGCTGCCGGGATGCCAATGGGGCAGCTTGAACATGTCGCTTTCTAGCTCTGAACAGTGTGCTTGTTTCACTGAAGCACGACTCTCCCAATTACCACAACCCAGCATCATAACATGCTCTTGCACTGAAACCTGGGCTTCGAAGCATGCTTGGAAGCCGTATCTTTCACTTCTGGCAACTGGTAATGAAGAATCCCTTTCTGAAGCGACATGAGGATGTGTCTGGGAAACAGCAACCACTGGCTACTACCATGAGCTCGATATCACAAAGTGCACAACAGGCGAACGTCCAACTGCGGAAACAAACACTTCCATGTATAAGCATTACTATATCTCCGGGCAGTACACATATTTACTCTGACTAGACTATCATGACTATGCACAGACGCACTGTGACAAGTGCTTTGCTTACTATTGCTATGCCAAAATTCGACGCAGGTCTTGGACATGGGAGGCCAAAGTAGACAGCCTCGGTGGCTGGCGGGGGCTTAATTAAATGTAAGTGTGCCGACCACGGTCCCCTGACTGTGTGCGATCGCTGTTAGAAGGCACTCACATCGTCGTGTGTTTTGGAGCTTTTGGTGTAGGGCCGCGAAAGCTTTAATGGGAAGACCGTGTGCAGAAGCATGCGATGCCCGTGCTGGGGATGTAGCGTGAGAGGTTTGGTATGTGGGAACCGGAAGTGAGCAAGAAGCGGATGTAGGGTTTGACAATTCTTGATGGGCGAGCACAAGCATGTCCGCCTGTTGAGATGAATTTCAGCACACAGGGATCCGTGCGTAAGAGACTGAAACTCGAAGCCACAGGTTCCAAACCTCGCGGCTGCGAACTCCGGACGCTCTGTACGTTTAAGATCTGAGACGGTCGACTTACATCGAAGATCTCAAGCCCAGACAAACGTGCCCTTGCTCCTTACACCCGAAGCGAACTTACACTACCATGAACCTATTGCTGGTACATGATCAACTGGGCTCTTAGTGTTATCAAGGGTTTCACTTCTCACTCCGAAGGTCCACTTTACGGCTGAGGCTTTTGAGGAATCCTGGCGGCACTGTGGAGCCCAACTTGAAGGATCAGAGGACGGACAGTACAACCAAAGACATGTCCTCATCTTCCGGGATTTTCTTGCCATCTTACAAGCCCCAAAACGTTGCCTCTGTCACAGCCCTGAACTACCATAACTCAAGGTCAGGATTTACCCTATTAGGCAACCCCTGAAACCCTTTTAACGAGGTCTCTTGAAGTGCCTTTTGCAGCAGGCCTCGTTGTCCAGCAGCCCGATTACAGCAAGAGTCCCCCTTTCCACCGGCTGCTCAAGAGCCTAAACCGTAAACCCATGAGCAACTTCTGGTTCCCAGCGGCTCCATGCGCATGACGTCGCCACAAAGGCTTTGGTCCAGACGCCGGAGGTCCTCGTCCAATCGAGCCTGGATAAGATGTCAAAACCTGAAAACCGCAAGACTCCAACCCCCAGAAAAAACTCAAACTCTGAATCCGATCCACCTCGCACCCTGCAATGAACCCTTCAGCCGACATAGGCCCACAGGCTCCCTTTCTTCCTTATGAGCTTCGCACTCAAGCATGGATAAGGACCGATCTGAGAACTAAGTACCCCAAGAACCTCTTAAAACTGTGAACGTAACTGCAATATGCTCACGGACGAGCAAGTCATATGGGTGGCGAATCCGGCATCCAACTCAGGATGCCCCGAATGGGGTCTGGGATTCAGGGCTTAGGATCGAGGTTCAGCGTTTAAGGTCCCTCTCCACACCCAGAGCTTCGCGCACGAGCCGCATTTTTCTTCCATCTCGACGAAGTCCTCAAGTTCTCCCTTGACCCGACAATAATCCCGAAACCCCTAAAACCATCTTTGCTTGCCCCAGGGACCACCGACTCGTGGACATGGTTGTGCAGGCGATCCATGTTCTCCCTGGAAGACTTGGCTCTCAACTCCTGGGCTGGGCAACTCTATAGGGGCCTTAATAATTAGAATAGGGTTTTTGGGGCCCATTATACTAGAATTACAATAAGGAACCCCCAAAATGATATAGGTGTGGGCAATGTCCCCCACCATAATATTGGTAACTATTTAGCCCCCTATATTTTAGGGTTTAGGGTTTAGGCAACAACACGGTCCCCTGAGCCTCTGGGGAACATTAAGAACCCGGGTGAAGGATGCTAAACATGAGCCCAAATTTTCTATGTATCCTAGCCTGCATGCATGCGTGTACGTATGCATGCATGTGCGCTCGTGTGTTAGTATGTGCACACATATGTATAATATAACATGGACATGTATATATATATATATATATGTCTCGATGCATCTATGTCTATGGGGGGCTAGGCAACGGGGGCTTCTGAGTGCTGGCACTGTGAGATGTTGCCAGGCCGCCATGTCTGATAGCTGTTGGCGCACAGGCGCCATTCCATCCTGCAAGCAAAAAACGGGATGTGGTCGAAAGCCCTCAAGCTTGCGAACAAAGCTGAGGCGTGCTACACGGCTTGTCTTGGATCTAGAAAGCCAGCTGTATTGTTGGCAGCAGTGTCATACAGCACAACTTCACAACACTCGCGGCAAAGTAGACTTATGCAGCTCTGAAGACTGGTACCGGCTGTCGGTTGCTCCAACTTTGGGTTTAAGGTTCATGAGGACTGACGGTTTAGGGTGAACCAAAGAACAATTTGGATGTTGCCACACATTTAGCACCATCCCCTAAGCCCTTGACGCCCGAAGTGGCCGAAGCATCGCAGTGCGGAGCTTATTCAACCATGTCTCGGGGGAAGCCCCGAGACATTCCTTGCGTGCAGCATATTGAAAGACCTTGGTGCTGTGAACTTGTTAGAGCTTGCCCCCCGCCGTGCCTCAAGAAGCCCATGCTTTTCCACACAACTCATCACTGCCTTGGTTCGCAAGAGTTTTCATGCCTCCTACTTTGCAAGGACGAGCCCGCATCGCAGGGTAGTTTCGGCTGGAAGGCTTCACCACTTTCGGCAGAGACAAGGCAAAGCGGGATGAAACGTGTTCGCACGTTCCATACATCGTGGACCCGAAAAAGCCATCATTGCGATTCCGCAAAACTCCGGCTCACAATGTGACAGAAGTCGAAGGCTTTGGGTTTCGACTCACACTCTTGCTCTGGGCAGGCTTAGCTTCGTGTCGGCTGAGCATTGGGTTTAAATAAGATTTAGCGTTTAGCTGTGGGGTTACACACAAATAAACAGCTAACAGCTGAAGATTTGAAGCGAACCCTCGACAAAGTTTTGCACGCGACTCAGCCGATGTGCCTTCTGCTAAGGGCTCACTCTAAACCAGGACCTTACGCAACGCAGGTACTTCTCCACATTGATGATACCCTTCCTCCTCCCTCTGACTCTCCCCATCGCTCCCCTCAACCTGTCATGTTCTCGTCTACATGGTGATGCTGCTGATTCTGGGTCTGTTGCTGTTTAAGACAATGATTGCGATAACGATGGCGAAAATCGTCGCTGGTAAAGGCTGTCGGGGCATGACGCTACCACCCCTGTCGTAGTGAAGGTAACCCTGACTTCCACACCCTCAGCACACCCAGCCACAGAATGCTGACTTGAATCTTGAATGTTGCAGAGCTTGAAACGTCTCAAGGCCAGGCCACTTTGAGTTCGCTGGTGTGCCGTATGGTCCTCTGTTCCACCTCAGTCATTTCTCTTCTTGAACGGAGGCTTGATTACCTTGAAACGGTTTCTACGGTAGAACACACTATTTGCTTCTGGCGTTCCTCTGACATTCAGCTGCTGAGTGTGGTCCCTGCCTACTACAGTGTTGGCGAGGCTAAATCACAAGAACCCCGTACTTTCCGGGTTCGGTCTGTGGTAAACACGCATTCAACATGCTCACGAAAAAGAGGCGAGGTTTTATTATATAGGTTCCATTGCCTTGAAGATGGCATGTGATCTTTCTGTCAGACTGCTAGTCTGGTCCTACTTACACAACGGGCCTCTCAAAAGTGAAGTATGTTGGAACAACTCCGCACTACGGTCAAAGGATTTCAAATGTAGCTAAGGCTAAAGCCGTAAGCGCCTACAGGGTTTACGATTTAGGCGATCTTTAAGGCATCGAGGGGCACAGCTCTAAAGTGCTCCATCCGCGGCTTCCGATTCTGTAAGCGTTCCTGTGTGAACACCTCACAGGTTTAGGTTTGTACCATGGAGGCCAGAAGACCGCAGATTCCGAGCATGTCCGAGCTGTGCAGCCTAAAACTTCTGCACACGAGTTCCGCACCACTCGCAGTTTTGCGTTCACGACCTGCCAGAAAGTGCAGGCAAAAATTTCCCGATGCGCCTGATACTACACACCAGCTACATTACAGCAGAAATACCCTCAGCCCCCTGGCAGCAACTTGATCCCAAACCCTACACTCTCTCAGTCCCGAACTTGCACACTTAGCCCCTTACAAGTCGGAAAGTCCTCTCAGCGGATATCCCCGGCTCGCCTCGAGGTTCTGCTTTTGCGCCACAGTGGTGCCAGAGACGACCTGCAGAACTTCTCCAACACTCGGGTTTCGACGCTCACACTCGCACATGGCAGGCCAGGCTCCACATAGTCCTCGGGTTTAGGGGTTCGGGATTTAGGGGTTTAGGGTTAAGCTTCGGATCTTGGGCTCTTCTTAAGCTTCGGATCTTGGGCTCTATCCTACATATTAGGGTGGTTGTCGAAACTTATGGTACCCTTTTTGGGGTCCTTATTAGAATACGGCACCTGATATTTAGGGTACACCAAACAAGGGCCATAGTTTTGACAACCACCATATGAGACTGGGGGCCTGAAGGATTCGACCATGGGTTTGGGGTATTCTGTCCTGTAGTTCTGTTCAGGAGCCGTGAGGAACCGTGTTGGCAATGAGTCAGTTTCATGCGCTGTGGTGGGAGATTCCGACCCTAAACCCTAAACCCCCAAACCCTAAACCCCTAAACCCTAAACTCGAGTACTCCAAAGCCGACAAGACCTGGAGCCGAAAACCCAATAGACCCTGACCCCCTAAATCCTAATCCTTTATGCCAAAATTCCATCCAAGGCCATATCCACCTTGATCTCCGTGTCGCTCATACAGAACCCCTATGAAAGCCGTTTTTGCCACTCCGGATACAAAAGAACCTGACGTAATGGCCTTAATACTTAGAATAGGGTTTGGGAGGTACATAATAATTAAATAAAATGAGGAACCCCAAAACCCAGTTCAAATTATCAAGGTCCGCACATTATGCCGCCCTGGCTAATATGCTCAAACACGCTCCCACCTCGATGCTATGCTCCAAGGATCGCCGTAACTCTCGTATCTGCTGGCACAGCGACCTTGGCCCAAAAATTCTGGAATGGGCTCAGCATTTATAATGTCATTAGATTATGTTATGTTTTCATGGGCTTAGGGTTTAGTTGTCATTATAACTATAGCATTTTGTTATGATGGTTGTGGGGTTTAGATATCGTTATCATTATAGTATCGTATGTTATAATGGGCTTCGGGTTGAGGGGTTCATATAGTATGTTGTGTTATTATGCTGAAGGTTCCAGTAGGGGATCCTCTAAGGGTTTCAGAAACATGCATTAATGGTTGGAGGTTGGTACATGCGTAAGACCAAGAGTTCGGCTGTTGAGGGTTGATTTTAGGTTCGGGGGTTTGTCCTTTGTGCGGCTGTGGAGAGGTCCCAGGACCTTCTGTTCGTAGCATGTGCATATATATATATATATTTATATGTATACATAATAGGGCAGATTGAACAGGAAATTCTGACAAAAAAAGACGTGCCTGCAAACCACTAAGTCACGAGTGTTTTGTTTCCTCTTTTCCCTGACAATTCCAAGAAAAGGATGCAGTCTTGCTGAGGCATACAAGGTCCATCAGTGAAGTGGAATCCTGAAGCACAACTATCGGCTGAAGACCCCAAACCTACCAACGCTCCCCACCCCCTAACCTAGTGTTTTGGGTCTTGGGTCTATAGGGCCACTAACGGCTGAAGACCCCAAACCTAACACCGTTCCCCACCCCCTGGCCATAACCTAGTTTTTCGGGTTTTGGGTCTATAGGGCCACTAACCAAGAGCCCTAAAGCCCCGCACAAGTGTCGCCACGGTGTTTCTATGAACATTCGTACACCTGGTCATCGCTTCTGGACTCTTTTGGGGGTGGCCAGCACGCCAACGAAATTCCCGGTAATGGGTTTACTACGGTCTCTGCGGTGTCGGGGGGTTCCATATAGCATGCACAGGTAAGGCAACCCTGCAGAACTGCTCAGGCCCTGCTAAGTTGAGAGACGGTTGTTCGCGCGTCTAGGAGTTGCTCTACAGCAAACTCTATAGATCATCGCATACAGTAGTAGGAGAGCCACCAGAAAAGAACATCAAATCACAAACAGAATTAAGCATGCCCTCCTGCTGGCATGGAAGTTCTCAGTGCTTGCCAGCGGCTCTTCGACGTCCTTAACGCTCCTCAAAAAGGCAACAAAGCAGATCGGGGCGCCGGGTTCGCATGCCACCTATCTAGCACAACACACTCACGCAACTGAAGTCTTTCTCTTGACAATCGAGGATTTCCTCCTTGAAACTCGATATGAGCAGTCGGGTCACAGCTTCTCCGGGAAGTTTATGCATCAGATGGCCAGATGCATGCAGATTAATTACGCACGCTATGATGAGTCGATCGGTCTTGTTGTGAATCTACCTGACTTTATGTTTCGAGATGCAACATGACGCCAAACAACGCCAGCCAGAAGCATGTACATATGCAAGATGTGCATGCGTACGTGTCTGCAAAGCATGTACACC